GTGAGACAAGTATATATATTTTTTTCATTCTAGCTCTTACTGCACTAGTTCACCAGTGCAGCGACAGAAAACAAACCCAGCGAGAAATGATTCGTCGATCGACGTCGATCGACGAATCATTTCTCACTGGGAAGCCTTTTGTTGACCGGTCTTGCTACCAGCATTCGGCCAACAATGCCACAAAATATGCCAGATGAAGGGTTGGATTTTTTTTTACAGTCGACGTTATTAAAGATGATCGAAGCGGACCTCGAGAACGTAGGAGACGACAGCTGGAATTGCAGGCTGTGAATCGCGAAGGATGTAGGCAATAAACGTAAGTGGGGAAACACGTAAGTACACGTTACACTGTTGACGTCAATGCGCGCATTATAGCGACCCGAGGCGACGCAGGCAGACGATAAAGCATTAATAAGCCTCATTAAAACAATCCACGAAATGTCGTTGGTTAAGACCCGGTTTCACCGACGTCACTTAACTTTAATCTTAGTTCAATTCACGTTTGTCTTTCTCTAAAGTAGCAGAAGCCCTGCCGGAAATAATTCTGCAAAACTATAAAACGACTACCAGAATCTCAGTGTAGGAATAGAAAACAAGCCTACAAGCCGGTATTCATAGTCGATTCTTATTTCAATATCATCGTAAGTGTTGTCTTAAGAGGCTCATACGGCTCTGTGATTGGTTAATAACACATTAAGAGTATATTTAAGACGATCTTAAATATAAGAACGGACTGTGAATATCGGCCATAGTTTCAGTGATCAAACTCTGATGTTTTCCCGTAATCATGGCGTCACAATGACATCATTTTGACTTTTTCTTCTACTTGGGGTTATCTTTCCTTCCCTCATTGGCAAAGGCGGACCCGGTTGCGCCACTTATCGCGACGAAATACGTACGTCACTGCGCGACTACGTGTGCGTGGCTCTTCGAACGCGCCGAGCAGCACTGAATTGCACTCGTGTGATCCGTCGAACGCTATAGATATATGTACGCATCGTGCGTGCTTGACATTCGTTTCACATTGCGTCGCGAGGCTCCCGGTCGCAGCCGCTCGGTTGATTCGCGAGAAAATGCGATTCTCCCGTCTATTTGCGGGACACAGTCGGCTCGGCGTTTAGAGCGTCGATCGCATTGAGAATCAAATCGCTGTCAAAGGTACACGCAGCTTCACGATGATTTTTAACCCTAATCCCCGAGCTCGTCGCCTACTCCTGGCTCCTGATGATTTAAATGCTCCGGAAGCGCGATAATCGTAACTAATTTGCACGATGACCCTCCGCTTCGTGACTCACAGTAACAGATCTAGCAATAAGTATATGAGAAATTCATACGTTGCCAGTAGCATGATTGCATTTCGCTCGTATAGTTATTTCATCTCGATTAGCTCGCGATCAACCCTTAACAGGTATGTGCGATAAGAGAACTAGAGAGAACGCGATAAGAGACTTGTACTTTGCGTACAAGTGTCTATATAATTTATTTCAAGTTATATTTGATTGCAGTTCGTTTGTGATCAACTCTTACAAGTACATATGATACATACGAACCACGAAGAAAAACAGATGAGGCAGATTTTCCAGTAGATTTCAACTTTGCGCACGAGTATCTGTAATTTATTTCACGTACAAGTGTCTATATAATTTATCTCGAGCTATTTGATTTCAGTTCGCTTGTAATCAACCCTCACAAGTACATATGATACATGAGAATCACGAGGCGAAACAGATGCGAATACAAAGTGATACTCTCGCTCTTCATTTGTTGCAGTGAAAGCACACAGGATGCGCAGTAGAAGCAACTCCGGCGTCCGCCTGGACTACTACCAGCGGATCGTCCACAAGATAATCATGAACCACCAGAACCCCGTCACCGGACTCTTCCCCGCGAGCGCCGACAACGATCACGCCTGGATACGCGACAACATTTACTGCATACTCGCCGTGTGGGGCCTGTCGATGGCCTACAAGAAGATAGCGGACGCCGACGAGGACCGGGCCAAGACCTACGAGCTCGAGCAGAGCTGCGTGAAGCTGATGCGGGGCCTGCTGATGGCAATGATGCAGCAGAAGGAGAAGGTGGAGTTGTTCAAGTCTAGTCAGAATCCGCACGACGCCCTGCACGCCAAGTACAGCTCCACCAACGGCCAGTCTGTGGTCGGCGACACCGAGTGGGGACACCTCCAGATCGACGCGATTTCTCTGTACCTCTTAATTCTGGCCCAGATGATCGCCTCCGGCTTGCAAATTGTTTTCAATCTGGATGAGGTATTGATGCCCGAAGCCCGTCTCTACCATTGTATTGTAGATTAACTTTAGCCTCTGTTCAGCTCGCTTTATATCTTTTTCTAGTTTTAAAAATTAGAAAAAGATGAGAATTCATTTAATCTCTCTCACACACACATCTTTTGAGGCTATTGAAGGCAAAGCGTTTACTTTCAATTATTGGAGAATAGTCTACCATCTTTTTCGCCGCAACTGCCTCCTTACATTGATTCTAAATTTAGACAGTTGAGGAGTTGGCGGAAGAACGACTTGGGTTGTTTTCTCGTGTACTAAAAGCTAAGCTAAACTTTGTAAGCGTATTCTATACATCAGTATCTGTAAAATGTGCATTTTTTTGGAAACTTACAGTTTGGTCAATAAATATGCAAGTATTCAATTTCGAAACTTTTATACGAAAACTCAAGTCGTTCTTCCACCAAATTCCTCAATTGGGATATTTTTCAGTAATGCAACCGTAAATGCCCTTTTGTGATGTACGTCAGATTTACTGACTTGAGAAGCTGAATGGTACGTTTGATTTTCAGGTGGCCTTTATTCAGAACTTGGTATTTTACATCGAATCTGCGTACTGCACCCCGGACTACGGAATTTGGGAAAGAGGTGACAAGACGAATCACGGTTTGCCCGAGTTAAATGCGAGCAGCATCGGGATGGCCAAGGCCGCGATGGAGGCGATGAACGAGCTGGATTTGTTCGGGGCGAGAGGCGGACCCACGTCGGTCATTCACGTTCTGGCGGACGAGGCGCAGAAGTGTCAAGCGGTGCTGCAATCCATGCTGCCCAGGGAGTCCAACTCCAAGGAGCTGGACAGTGGCTTGTTGTCGATTATAAGTTTCCCCGCGTTCGCGGTGGACGAGCCCAACTTAATTCACGAGACGCGCGAGGCTATTACCAAGAAATTGCAGGGACGATACGGTTATAAAAGATTTTTGAGGGACGGATATAAAACGCCAAAGGAGGATGCCAATAGGTGTGCTGTTTATTTAGTAATATTTTTACGTATTAAAGTATAAAAGAACAACGTACTTTTATATTTTAAACGGAATTTACTTTGACCAATTATCTTTGGAAATGTAGGTTGTATTACGAGCCGTGGGAACTCCGTATGTTTGAGAATATCGAATGCGAGTGGCCGTTGTTCTTCTGTTATTTAATATTGGACTACTGCTTCCAAGGTAATAAGGAAACAGCGGAGACGTTCACCAAACAGTTGGAGGAAGTAATGATCAAAACGGAAGACGGTATGAAATTGGTGCCTGAATTATATTCCGTCGCACCTGAGGATGTACCGGCGGAGTATGCCGAGCCCGGTAGCCAAAACCGGATAGCTTTGGGCAGATGTCCATTTAAATGGGCGCAATCTCTTTATATTCTAGGAAAATTGTTGCAGGAGGTAACGCACTTTCTGAAACAAATTAGGAACCTGCTGTATTGAACGTATTACTAGACATTTTTACTTTGAATTTATATAGAAATATTTAAAACATAAAAAATACCAAGGAAATATTTGATAACTTTATCTGCTCTTTCTACTGTATAATGTATATAAAATGTTTCGGTTTATTAGAAATTTCGATTCAGTAAAGTGATATTATATTTTCGTAATTCTTTTTAATAATTTGCAGGGATTTCTCGCGGTCGGCGAGCTGGATCCCTTGAATAGACGTTTGTGTAGCGAGAAAAAGCCGGATGTTGTGGTACAAGTAGTTATCTTGGCAGAAGATACAGAAATCAGGGAAAAAATTGCGCAGCACGACATTCACGTGCAAACAATTGCGGAAGTTGCGCCGATTGAGGTGCAACCTGCCAAAGTCCTCAGTCATTTGTACACATATTTAGGTACAACTCGATAAGATAACTTGGAAATGGTTTGCTAAAGTATAATTTAAACATATCTTGTCGTGTTTCGCTATTAGGGCGCAACAGGAAACTGGGATTGTCCGGACGTAAGTCAAGGGACGTAGGAATTCTCAGCACTAGTAAACTGTATTCCTTACAAGATAAGATATTCGCATTCACGCCGCAGGTAATTAATCCGCACTTTATAGTGAGCTCCACCGTCTCTTTGTATCTTTACTTCTTTTCTTATGTTTCCTCTTGTTCTCGCATCGAATTGACTAGTTGACAGATATGACCCGCTTCTACATCGCATCGGACTATGAGCTCATGATTGACATATTCAAAGGTGAAATTAATTTCTTGAAGTCTAGTTGGCAGAATATGTTGGGCCGGCCGCTCGTGGTCATGCCCCTCAAGAATATTCATCTAGGTAATTTAACGATTTCAAAATCAGTTCTCTTTTATAGCCGCTACTTTCTGAAGTCGTTGAAATTGTCATAATTAGGCACAAATTTTGTGGCTCTTACACTCTTAGAAATTTTGACAAATTTCTTGCGTGAGATTATATCGTTCTTTTTTTTACAAACACTGTGACTGTCCGCTCTCAACAACTAATGTCTGCTTGCATGCGTTTGTTCTCGTCATGGTTTCATTTAACAATTATTTAACTCTCTATGGTCTAATATGATTTTGAACATTTTGGGAGTTAAATTGATTCCGTGTCACAAATGCCTTAAAAATCCATCGTAATGTAAGTTCTATCTGTAATTTAAACTCGGTAATGCAATTTCGAAATTAGTACGCTATAATATTATCCATGGAGAGTTGCGACATGAGCTTTTAATTAGTTTTCATGTTATGTTTCTATTCTTTCCACTACTAACATGACTCGGACCTCAAAAGTGAACGCGTTTGTGAGTCGTATCGATACCGAACATGTTGAACTGATATACAGTGCGGGATGAAAGCAACATATTCGAGGCGAGATCGTTTCATTTTCAAGCATTAATAAAGTTACCCTGAATTATCCTGATATGGCTTATTATGTGTTCGGTGGTATGCGCGTGTGTTGCATGTGTTAGAAATTTGACACGGAGGAGTACTACACTACAAACGACGTCGACCTGCTTGTGAACACTTTTACAACCACCTTGGCCTTCCTCAAAATCAACTGGAAGCAAATGCTCGGCAGACCAACTGTAACCCTTGTCGCTACTCATAATCATTTAGGTACGGCTTCGTCGGAAGCTCTTAGATCTCATCCTACAATGAAAAACTCGTCGGATATTACATAGGATTGTGTAGCACAGTGCGCTAGCGTGAAATTAACTGTTAGAAACATCATGCAGAGTATCATAAAATTCGAGTGTAAAAATTCTGCTGCAGTAGCAAATCGGGTAACAAAAGCAAACAATTTTTTATTTTATTTTAAGGAATAGTTCTTTAAATATAAGTTTGAAACTTGTATTTAAAGTAAACCATGAACCGAAGTATTGTACGTGTGTAATAGTATTAACACATAATCTTTTGTCTCGCATCAATTATCGTCCGAAATAGTCTTTAATTTTAGCGAATTATAATTATATGATTAGTCACATTTTTAATCTCAATTGAAAAATGTTTTCTGAAATAAAAAGCTGCATGCACTTTTATTGCCTAGTCTTCTGCGACTTTTGGCTATAATTTTGCCTGAATTATGCCTGAATTTTGTGATATTTTGCATAGAAGCTATTATTTCCAGTGTAAAAAGACACTTCACTCTTTGCTTTACTTTACGAAAGTTAATTAGCGATTTTTTTAGATCAAGGTAAGATACCATTAGCTATGATAACAACCCTGAAAAAGCTTAAGAGCGGCTACATCAACGGTACTAGAGTATCATTGGGAAATTTGAACGATTTCTTGAGTACGTCCTGCATCACGAATCTTAGTTTCCTGGGAAGTTCCGAGGATGGCCGTCCTGACAAACTAAATCCTCAGGTATACACATATAAATGGCATATCCGTTCAGAATAAAGTTGCATCCTGTATTAACAGAATTATCTGCAAAATAATTGAACGTTTACTTTGTCCTATGCATTTTTTTTTAATGCTGTATATCTTTCTCAATATTTAGTTTTCGTATAGACCCCAATTGGGTATATAAAATCTTGCTTGATTGGCGCACGTAACTTTAATTTTTTTATGTTTACAAGATCCAACAATATTTAGAGGAACATTTAATGCGGCCATTCCCTCATCGTACAGGACTTCTTAACAAGCATATATCGATACGTACAGGAAAAAATCTACGGCGCAGAATGTCCGTGAAAGGCGCGATAAAAAAGACCCGATCCATAGCTGTCGAACGTAAGCAACATTTGTCCCGTTAAAAAAATTCCAGATGAAATGGTTTTCACGTTCTAACTGCGTGTTCTGATTGTGTGTCTTTTAAAGAGGATCCTTAAACAATAACGCAATGTCTTCCTACTGCTGTGATTGTTACCATCTTCCAAGAATGTAAGTGTATTAACTGGACACTGTACTTGTTTAATCTTCAATAAAAGCAGAGATGATTTTATACGATTCATGATAAAAAATTTTGACAATTATACAACAAGTGCCAGCTAAGATAGCTTTGATAACGTGTCTCAAAATTATTGAAATTTAGAGATAGTCCCTATTTCTAAATAATTACCAGAATTTTTGTGTGATTTGTTATTGTCCACATTTGTTTCTAATTATTAGATACACATTTCTTATTACATATATGCATTGTGATACAACTTGTTAATACGTATATTTCTTAATAATTTCAGCTGAAATTCTTGGAATGGCAGGGGAAGACCGTAGGCATTCTACTGTTTTAATTGCAAATCCATTTATTGAAGTGACCGATACTACACTGTCTCTCAACGCCACTCAACCGGTGACGATTGAACGCACGCCATCGCCAACTGACGAAGTGTTATCGTGGAAAAATTCCCCCAAAACCAAACATAGAACAATATCCGAGGCTCAGTACGCCGAGACTGAAGTGGAGGAATTGCTGTCTATGCTGCGCGAAACGGAAAGTCTCGAAGAGCAAGGAGACATTCTGCAGTATATTGTTAGTGTGTTTAGTACTTTCATTTTAATTTTACTTTTGTGGAACAAGATTTTTCATTGAAACATAATGACTTACATACATGTAAACATCGCATAGGTGGACTCGAAGGGACTGCTTTTCGACACGGGCGTACTGGAAGAGGGACATCCCGTTTTGGTGAAGGATCTGTTGAAGAGTCTTTATGAGAAGGCTTGTCAACAGAAAATGTGGGGTATTGTGCGACACAGCGCGGGCATGTTGGGCAAAAGAGTAGAGGATTTAGCGAAAGCGGTCACCGATCTTCTAGTGAGGCAAAAGCAAGTTACTGTCGGTATGCCACCGAGCAACGAGCACACGATAGTCGCGCCTTTACCGGAGAATGAACTGCGAGCGCTGATTCATCAGGCGTACGGTGACGACGAGTCGACAGCTATGTTGACGCAGGAATTGCTTGTTTACCTGGCGATGTTTATCAGAACGGAGCCACAACTGTTCCACGAGATGCTGAGATTACGCGTCGGTCTGATTATACAAGTTATGGCGACGGAACTGTCGCGGACGTTAATCTGCACCGGCGAAGAGGCTTCCGAGCACCTGCTAAATCTATCCCCCTTCGAGATGAAAAACTTACTGCATCATATTATGAGCGGAAAAGAATTTGCTATTAGCAGTGGTACGTTTTCGTTAATTAAAAAAAATTGAAGAAGGTGTGCGATAAAATATATAATAATCACATGGGCTTGTATTGCAGTTGGTCGTGGCAACTTTTCCGTCATTAGCTGCAAATCCAATAGAGTCAGCAAGGTAATATTATTAGTTTGAAATAAAGCTACATTTGACTTAGATCTTAATTACTACTAATATATTAATTTATATAACACACAAAAATACACTGGAATTTTTTATTTTTCCGAGTTAATTTTTCTATTACGTGATATAGTTGTTTTAATTTAATATTCACATTTGATAAGCATGATTGATTCATGTTTTTACTGTCTGCAAGTTAAACGAACATGTGTAGAGTTGAACGTCTTTCCTTTATGTAGAAATCTCAAATCGGTGGTTTCTTAAGTGCTGATCAGAATGATAGTGAGACAGAAGCAGATCGTCAAGGTCAGTGGTTGCGAAGGCGACGATTAGACGGCGCATTGAACAGAGTGCCGAGAGATTTCTATCCGCGCGTATGGCAAGTACTCGAAAAAGTGAGTTTGCAAACTATTCATTATCCAATAAATGTAATGCCTAATGTAACACTTTTCAACATTCTAACTCCATAAACATTGCAACTTTCAACAGTGCAATGGTTTGGCGATTGAAGGAAGAGTATTGCCTCAAAATCTCACTCAGGAAATGACATCTGGCGAGTTGAAATTTGCATTGGCTGTAGAAACAGTTTTAAATACTATACCACAGCCGGAATATCGTCAACTTGTCGTTGAGGCTCTAATGGTACTGACATTAGTGACCGAGTACAACGTTGTGCCATCTTTAGGGGGTCTAATCGAGGTTGAACATTTAGTACATAAAGCAAACGCTATTTTCTTGGAGGATCAGGTATTATTCTGTTTTATACTTGTAATATTATCTAGTTATCGAAATTTCGTGAAGGAAAAATATACAGTAGAAGATAGGAGAAAATAGGGAAAAAGTACTATCCTATTCTTCTAAGTAATTCAGCCATTTACCGATATAAACAATTCAAAACAATACTTTTAATTTTATGAATTAATTAAGATTGACTGTCGATTTATTTCGTTTAAGACAAATCTCTTCTGTGTTAGAAATTAATAATTTGCTATATTAGAAACACATGATAGTCATAGTAGTCCTAATATAAAGTGCATATAGGGTAATATATAAAAGATTGATCATTTGATTTAAAAAGGAACTATTTTTTTTATACCTTTAAAAAATGAAAGATAATCATGAGATGCGTTTGTAGATGGCTATTGACGGCGATGCGACGTTATGTTGTGCAAAGCCAAAGGAGCAACGTGAAATGACGCCCATGGGAACACTTCTCTGTGGTGGAGCGGCATACATTTGTCAACACTTTTACGATACTGCTCCTAGCGGAAGCTATGGAACAATGACATACATTACAAGAGCCGTTGCCGTAACGCTTGATTGTCTACCAAAGGATGGCGACTTGGAATGCTCAATATCATAAAAAAAATATAATTTTAGAAATAAATGTTTGTTAATTGTGGCAAAGATATTACCAAAATAAATATTTTAGACAAATTTGCATTGCGATTTATAAGTCTCCATGTTATATAATGAACTTTAAATTTAGTAGGAACTGGAAATTTAGTTTTAATCTAAAAACGCGGCCCTTTCTCTCTAGTAAATATCAAATTAGTATTTATAACTTGCAATACATACATTATACAGAGATTGATATTGTAATATTAACATTCAGTATTGTTGCTACTGAAACTTATTACCGCATATTTCGAAAATTGGGAAACAGGTACAACATTCGTCCATTTAAAGAAATATGCTTGTTCTAATAAAGCTACTTTATTTCCTTCATTGTATTAATATTGTATTAATATTTATAATTGTCAGAAAATGTGTATCCCAAAGGAAGAAAGTGACAACAAGAATGACAACATTCATAAAATTAGCAATTAAAAATATTTGTTTTGCTATAGACAACAAACAGAAATTTACCTAGTCGGTCCTCGGGCGTTTGGCGAAGGGATTCAATTTGTTTAACCAAGAACTGTAAAAAAGTTTCACTTATAAATTTTAGAATGGTGACATGACAAACACGAGTATATGCAGTTACGTACGTTTTCTCTGGCGATACAACATCCACGTTTTCAGCTTCTTCAATTTTATTCTCCTTGAGTTTGGCAATTAATTCTGATCTATATTGGATTTTCAAAGGTTGTGGTTCTGTCTCGTTCAACTTTATCCACTTTTTACATGCTTCCTTGAATGATAAACCATACCATTCTATTTCTTCCCTCGTATACTGAAAATATATTAATATTATAATAATAATTACACATATTTATTTGAGGCAACATGAATTGTGTTTTATCAGCTATCAATATTAGGACAAGTATTCTTTTCAGTTTAGTATCTATAATTTTTCACAAGTGTCCATAATATAAACAAATATCTTACAGCTGAAAGATAGTGTTCGTATGTAGCGTAAACTTCTGCACGCTTTTTTGGATCATCGGGATATAAAGTCTTATCTGCTAGTGCAATAAGTATCTGACGCTTCAGTCTCAAAGCAAGTAGAGATCTCAGATCGCAGGCTGGCGTCTGTAAATAATCGTCTGTAACTCGAGAATCTTGTACAATAAATCCGTCGAAGATCTTATATAGTTTTGCTACTTTATTTACTAGCACGAAGACTAATGCACCTTCAATAAATAATGGTCGAATCCATAATTTTCGTGAATTAATTTGATTGTTCTATTAGTAACGACGACGCTCATATGTGAATCAAGAACTTCGCTGTAAACAACAGACTTCTTCAGATGAGGGATCCAAAAGTGCGGGACTCTTCTCTTATATTTGCCTTTTTTCTTGAAGCCCTGAACAATGGCTTCTCCTCCCCATATACCGTGATCAATCTCTTTAGGATACGTTAAAGGTAGTGCCACATTTTGTACTCGAAATCTGTAGGTAGATTATTCCAAATAAAATTTATATAATTATTACATAGTAAAACTAGTATGTCCACTCTCTGCCAGCCCCTTTGATCATTGCGGTCCCGATCACGAGGTGATTCCGCCATACACCCGGACAGGATTCAGCGACGTGTGTGTATACATACTCATCAAAGCCACACTACCACCCCATACAACTTTTCTCTCATCGGTCTGCCCAGAGCAATGTCGGATATGCAGAAGGGATCGACGTAAAATGAAACAAATGTCGGAGTGGACCTACTAGTTATGCTACGATTATTATAAGCGAGATGCGTTTGCATGTAAATATCTGTACAACTACTTTACGACATATTGTATACTTAGTATACTCAGTATACTTGTTACAAGAATTGTTATGTAATTTTATAATATTAGTAGGCAATTTTGGGGGATTATTTGATACATGTACAAAGTGTGCCAGAGTATGCAGTCGGCGTCATGAATGCTTTTACACCTGAAAATAGCCGTCAATTAAAATAAGTTTTCCTTCTTTAGCGTCTTTCTTCAGGTGTAAAGGCATTCATGACGCTGAGTGTAGATTCTAGTACACTTTGCTATATGTACCGAACAGTCGCCAAAAATCGTCTATTATGTAACTTTATAGAGAGAGAAATTGATTATATATGTTTTACACTTCTTCAGTTTCTTCATTTCTCCAATAAGTGCCTTCCTGCTTAATGTAATGAACCGCAGCTGGTGGCCGGGACATCCATTCATTCCAGAATTTTTTGAATTCTTTCGGCAATTCGGCACCGATTCCTTTACTAAATCGAGTTGGTCTCCGCATGTAATACAATCGCTGCAACAGTTTTGAATTTTACTTACAACAATTGTGCACGATTATCAAACATAATTTTAATTTACTTTAATTTTGTGTCGGACCAAACGTTTCGTTTAGTAAAGACATCAATAGACACAACAAAATATTTCCTATTAAGAATTTAGTTTAAAATGTCAAACGTGAAAACAAAATAATGTACAACAATCGCGTAATGACAATCGGATAATACTGCTTATTTAGAGGACACTGTATGCTCTTAGAGTTGCAGTATACCGTGAGAGGTTAGATTGAGAAAGTGTCTCCTGTTTTAGAATTAAAAGACAGTAACTTTATATTACCTGTACACCTTGCCTAAGCGACATTTTCTTAGACAATTTTTCGACCGGTTAAATCAGGATGATGAGTAACTTTAATAAAATCACCTAAAAGATAGAATGCCACGCTTACATCACACCGTAGTCACAAGTCGCGTTGTTCTATCCGTTCAATTCGCCCTCGCAGTCGGTAAATGAAGTTTATCATTTAGTCGCACTGATTGTGATTAAAATTACCATCCATAATTCGTCAAACTGTTCATATTTTCGCCAAACAGACATTTAGTTGTATCGTACATTCATCTTTTTTCGTAATTATTATTAATTTATTATTTTCTTACTCTATAATAATTAATAATGGTCAATTGTTACAGTTAACTATACAATATGTATAAACGTAGTAGCGATATTACGCTCACATTGAATTGTATACAATTTAAAAAATATACATGCATATAAATACTAAATTTGAAAAATTAACTTTTCTATCCCAGTAACACATTTAATTTGAAAGAATTGCATTACAGTATGCGGCAATTGACTAAATAATTCAAGAAAATACTGCACTCAATCTTTAATCTAAAAGTACATTTATTCCTAGTCAGAAATGGCTCAAAAATCGACGTCGAAACGATATCGAATCGATGCATTTTTTGTTTCATTTTCGACTTGGCTCGGCGTGTTGGTTTGACGCGTGTTGCTTTCGCGGCGTGTTGCTTTCGTTGGTTTGCTACGTGAGGCTTATGGCTCCTGCCCACTGGACGCGGTAACGTTACCGCGTCCAGTGGGCAGGAGCCATTAAGCCTCCGCTACAATGATTCTTGGTTGTGTCTACAATGGTCGTAGTCGTAGTCGCTCGATAAGAATTAACCAATCGCAGTCGATTATTCTTACGACTACGACCATTGTAGACAGAACCGAGAATCATTGTAGCGGAGGCTTTAAGGCTGGGTCTACATTGGATGTCGTAAGTCGTGTCGGAAGAAATTGACCAATCACAGTTCATTATTCTTCGACCGTAAGGCTGGGTCTACATTGGATGTCGTAAGTCGTGTCGGAAGAAATTAACCAATCACAGTTCATTATTCTCCTTACGGTCGAAGAATAATGAACTGGGATTGGTCAATTTCTTCCGACACGACTTACGACATCCAATGTAGACCTAGCCTTAAGTCTCCGCTACAATGATT